TGGATCATTCATGATAACGGTCCGCAGTTCATAAGCAACGCCTTCGTCAGGTTCTGTGACAAGTTCAAAATTGAAGATGTTTCGTCGACAGCTTATTATCCCGCTGCGAATGGATTAGCTGAAGCGTTTAACAAAACGATCATTAAGATCCTGTCAAAGCTCGTGAAGATCAATAAACGAGACTGGGACGATAAACTCGGTGAAGCACTCTGGGCTTATCGCACCACCATACGCACGCCCACAGGTGCCACCCCGTATTCGCTGGTGTACGGATGTGAAGCTGTGCTACCGCTGGAAATTCAGATTCCATCCCTTCGGATCGCCCTCGCAACAGAGATGACGACAGAAGAACAGCATCAGAAGCGTCTCGAAGAGCTTGAGAGGCTGGATGAAAAGCGCTTGGAAGCTCAACAGCAAATTGAGTTTTATCAGGCCAGGATGTCTAGGGCTTTTAACAAAAGAGTCCGACAGAGAAGCTTCAAGGAAGGAGATCTGGTCCTCGCTGCTCGCCGACCAATAATCCTCACTTCCAAGAAGAAAGGTAAATTCGAACCCAAATGGGAAGGACCGTTTGTAATAGACACAGTCTATTCAAACGGCGCATATCGCCTGATTACTCAAGAGGGCGCCAGGCAATTAATGCCAATAAATGGGAAGTTCCTGAAAAAATACTATCCCTAGTATGTTCAGGATAACCCATTTACCGGGAAGTTCCTTGAAGAATATTACACTTAATATTCTAAAGGATAACCCAAAATCATTTTTTTACCACCAAAATCCCTCACTGATCAGTTTCAATTGACAGTGGGTCCACCAAAAATGTCCATCTGGCCCTCTTGACTCTTTCCATAGACAAGAAGGTCCCCTTTCAGATCAGAGTCTCCTTTCGATAAACGAAAGAACTCCTTTCTCTTCTCTTTGGTTAAATCTTCTCACGGTTATAGCCAAAGTTGAAACTTCACTTCGATAAACGAAGAACTCTTTTTCCCAATTTAGATAATCAATCCTATAAAAGGCAAGTTTATCTAAATTTTCCAGATTCTCGGAGTGGAGATCCCACTTCTAGTTTCTTTTTCCCTGGAAATAGAATATAAAATTCTTCCTTTCCAGAATCAGGGAATAGAATATAAAATTCTTCCTTCCTTGTCTGTTGGGTTCGCCTTCACCCTAAAAGAAGACCGGGAAATAGAATATAAAATTCTTCCTTTCCCGCACCAACCTTTTCTAAGAATCTATCAATCTAGGATTCATCCTAGGAAGTTTATCCCGAATCCTAAGCAGGGATAAGTCTGCGCCTGACACGCGCTGCCGGTCAGTTCTTAACCGTTTAAAAAGAACACCCGTTCACATATTCGACATTGTGACAGGTTGTTATTAATAACACCAGAATCCATGCCTTACACGCATGGGGAATTTCATCCTGAATCCTAAGAAAGGATATGCCGACGCCTAACACGCGTCGCCGGTTTAGTCTTTTTCCGTAGAAAAAGACACCAGAGTTCGATTCTGGGGTATTTTATCCCGAAGCCTAAAAATCCTAAAGCTAACCCCTAACACGCGTCGCCGGGTAGTCTATTCCCGTGAGAAAGACGAAGCCTACGCATTCAATATCGTAGCACTAAGAGTGTTAACTCTTTTAGCACAACGTTATATGCGGAACGGATTTAGACAATCCGCATGCTAGCCCGACTCAAACGGTAGTCGGTAAAGGCTAATCAAATCCGTTGAAGGCTGGGGGTTAGCCAAAAAATCCTAAAGTCAACACCTAACACGTGTCGCCGGGTAGCCTATTCCCGTAACAAAGGCGAAGTCTATGTATTCAAAGTCATAGCAACAAGTCTCAGAGGATTCAATCTCTGAGCGCAACGTTACATGCGGAACGGATTTAGACAATCCGCATGCTAGCCCGACTCAAACGGTAGTCGGTAAAGGCTAATCAAACCCGTTGAAGGCTGGGGGTTAGCCAAAAATCCTAAAGTCATTGGCGGCTAAAGTCTTCACCGCAACTTCCTCTGTCTCGACCAGCTGCTGCTTCAAGGACTTCAGCTCATCAGATAAAGCAGTGTGTGTTTGCTGATCCTGCAGCTTTGTCATCTGGAGAATACTCAAAGTCTCCTCCTTCTCACGGAGTTCTCGTCGGAGCTGATCTATCTGGGTCTCACAAGAAGCGATGGAAGAATCAAGCTCGTCAAGTGAGGATGATTTAGTAGCAAGGTTAGCCTCAACTCGATCTATTCGGCCCCGCTGCACCTGAATCTCGAGCTCAGCAACCATCCGAGTACTGCGCCATGACTGTAAGCGAGTATCCAACTCAGCAGCAATGAATGAAGAGGCACCTGCATCCCGGAGCTCGTGAAACATCTGAAGCTCACGCTCTAAGCAGTCAAGGTCATCGAATATAACTCTCGCCAGATCCGGGTATCCCGCATCCCTTATTAAATTTATTTTAGAATCAAGGAATGGTTTAAACTGGCGAAGGGAAAGTCCGTCGTGGAGGAGTTTGCCAAGCATAACATTCATAAAGGAGAAGAAAGAGCGGACTTCTACACAAATGACGATCTTCTCAGGGTCATTGTCCGATAACAACTCCTTCACGAGGACATGAAGCCGAGAGGAAAGCCCTACACAAAAAGGAGAAATCCGTCAAAAAGCCTTAATAAGGAAATAAATGACATTTTCAGCGGCTTAATTTATACCTCCTTCCCCTTGAGTCGCTGGGGGTAGCGGAGACGTAACGGCTGTGGGTGTATCAACTAGTGGAGTTGGTCTCACAGCCGGCTCAGCAGGATCAGCCTCGGCAAAAGCTCCTGTTAAACACAGAACAGAATGTTCAGATGCATTACATTATAGCTGCATTAGTCAAAAAATTGGCTAGTCCTATAATTAACTCGAGAAAAGGCACGTACTTTCAAAAGAACCGTTCTCGGGATCCTGAGGGAGTACGGGCTCAGGAAACATATCCTCGGGCAGCGGGCCATCGATCTGAGGAGAGTCATACATGAAGTGGAACATAGAAGTGTCTGCAGGCAAACCTGCCTCATCGAAATCGTCAATCGAAAAATCTGACACAAAGAAATGTAAGTACGAAAGAAGAATGAAGAGAATATGACCAATGGAAATAAGTTACCTCTCGTAGATGTATCTGGATTCACTGAATCAGGTCCTACATTGGTAGCCTCCCTAAAGTCGGCGGCTTCTGCAAGTTTTTCTACCTGGTAAGGTGAGTCAGGCTCACCAGAAGATACAAACTCATGAGGAGCAGGATCGAAACTCATCTCCCTTCCTTGCGCTCTCCTACATAGAATGGGGAAGCATGAGTCTAAAAATCTAAACGATCAAGAGAATGATCTATAGAGTAGATGTTAACCTCTGTCGCTAGCAGGATCATCACCAGCCAAGTCCATCTCAGGTGCCCGCGAATCTGCAGGCAGCTTATGGGCTAGTCTCTTCCGCCTATCAGCACGGACAGTAGTCGAAGGTCTTGCCCGGGCAAAAGGACGGAACTCCTCTTCACTGTTTGTCGCTGTCCCTGAAATATCAGATAGTGGTCAGGACTGGCAATTCGGAAATGCAGAAAGAAAAGATGGGTGACTAACCTCGCTCGAAATCTGCCTCGTAGTCTTCAGGATCTCCGCCTGAAGCCTCTCCAGCAGAACTAAAGGCCCTATGACCTTCTGCATCAAGTCGGCGGGTCTTGCCCCACGCCCTCTGTGACCGAGCACCGTCCCGGATCACATGAGAATCAATCTGAGAGGCTTCTTCGGCCACCAACTCTTCAATAGGCTTCACAGGGACAGTCTTATTAGCTGTTAGCAACCACCTGCAGCTCAAGAAAGTGAGGTTCAACTGTCGCTCAGCACCCGGGAGACTGAACCTAGCACCAGTGCAGCCTGTCACAGTCCACAACCATGCACGAAGACCGTCCACCAAACCTCCATAAGCCCTAACCAAACTGGCGAGCGAATCGGCAGGGTAGATATGGCTCTATAAAACACTGATTCCCCACCCGGAAAGTCAGGTAGCCCGGCCTGATGTTCACTAGCCAATTAAAGCAGCCGATATCTAAATAAGTGCGATACTCCCTCGGCTTCTCCTCATCAATCAAACACTCGCCATACCGGCTGGAGAACTGCGGAAAGCAAGTGGAGAATGCCCAGCACTTGTGGACCTGTAGCTGCCTCCTGATATCAGAGAATCCTCGGCCTTCCCACTCGCCATTCTCAAGCAGCTGTAGTAAGGGAACAGAGTGGTCCATGGCATGCGGTACCGACATCATTTTGAGAGCCTATAAATAGGCCTAGAGGTGTTCATTTTCAAAGGTCGGAATTTCAAGAGCCGAAACTCTGCCGGATTGAAGAGTGATCTCAGAGCTTTGAAGACTTGAAGACTTGCACGTACAGATCTGATCCTCGGCGAGCACCTACGTCAGAAAAGGCAGGATTTCGAGAGGAGGCAAAGAACAGATCTGAGATCTACACGATATCACACTCCGGATCTAAGCTTGGTCTTAGATCCCGAGATCTGAGCGATTATTCCCTTGGTGGACTAATCCCTCCCGGCTATTATTCCCTTCGTGGAATAATACCCGCATAATCGTGTAGATCCGACCGGATCTAGATCGCGCGGTGGTCCACGGATTAACCCCGGCGCAGGCAAAGAACCCACCAAAGCGAGCGACCGCAAAACAGGAGCTCGCGATTTGTTCACAAGAGGAAAGTTGTAATTTTTACTTTTTTTCTTCTTTCTTTGATTTAGTTGTAACCGGATCTATAAAAGACCGGATCTTTGTAATCCAAGATGACAATTATCTCATTAATGAAGAAAGATACAGTTTTCCACGCGAACACTGACATGTTAATTGCTATAATAAGTGGTGACTGGTAAGATAAGTGTTATGATTTTTTTTTTTTTTTTGAGAAAAATAAGTGTTATGATTGTAGACTTGTGTTCGTATCTAGGATTCCAGATTTATGTGCCTGTTTAGTGTTCTGATGTAGTTGGTTATGGTCCAAATCCTCACACGAAAGGACTGCAATTTGAGTTAGGTACCCAATGAGTTTGTTTCAAAGTATAACCATTTTGTAGAAGAAAAAAATGTATGTCAAAAGCATAATTTACGGAATGAAAAATATTGGAACTGAGCATTTTGCTCTTTAATGTTTCTCTTTTGTGGTTTTCATTTGAAATTTTCTATTTAAAGGAAGTATGATTATGATCAGCATACAATTGACTCAATGAGCAATCCAAGCCCAATTTGTAACTAAAGGGTGTTGCTTCTCTAAATTTGTTGCTGTTGTTGTTTTTACTACCAACAGGTTGCAGAATACCTTGTTCCCTCTATCAGATCGGTCCCTAGCAGTCAGTCCATGAAGCCAACCTACATAAAATTCTTAACAGGCCTTAAGGCGTACTCCCAGATTTTTTCAGTTAATATCCAAAACTGATATGTTTTTTTTCCCTTTAGTGAATATGCTGAGCTTATGTTAACTATTATCTTCTCATTTTCTTGTACAGAGAATTGCTTTTGGTGCAAGGAGGAATAGATACGTTATTGAAGATTGAATGGCTTATTCGCTTTCGTGAGTTTTTATTCTTAAAATTTTTTCTTCCACAATGGAAGTTATTCCTTCTACTTTAACATGTGGTTAGTTCTTAATTGTTGAATATTTTTTTCTTTCTTATTCATTTATTTATGCATTTTCAATTTTCATAGGGGATTAGGAAAGAACAACGTTCTTTCTGCAATGAAGAGTGCGTTGTGGTTCAGCACAAGTTCCATGAACTGTGTGGGTCCAAATGCAAAATCAACTCTATTTTTAATCCTCCTTTCTTTGTGAAACTCATCTGCAGGTATGGGAAAAGCTTTTGTGTCTGCAAAGGCTTTTTCATTCTTCTCATGTTAGGGCCGCACTGGTAAATTAATAATAATGCCTCTTCTTTTTTTCCTTTTTTTTCTTTTGGTTGAGCAACTACTGGTAAAATAATTTCATAAACAATAATATTGAGGTTGACACCAAATTATTTTTTGAAGAACAGTTACAGTATTCAGATTTGCGTTTACTAGAAAATAATGATTGGTTGAGAACATAGGGTTCCATATGCATTTTTTTAATTCTTAAATACAGAAAGCATCTCAGTACTACACAAATTGATTAATGAGGTTTATATGGGATCCTGATATATAGTATTGCCACTTGTTCTCAAAACTCGACTTGAATTTGGTTCTTGAGAGGTCAGATCTAGAAAAAATCCTCTTTTTATTGCAATTCTACCCCCCTGAAAGATAAGCTCGAGGCGCCAAATCATAATCCTAACCCTCGCATGCAATCCCACAAGTTCATAAATTAAATTAAGCATAAAAAAATGCTAAAATTATGGAAGATATACCTGAGGGAAAGCTCGAAGATCCAATAAAATTAGATCTTGAAAAGTGCTCGAACCACGCGCTCGAGGGGCCTAAGAGAAATTCTAAAAATGGAAGTTTCGAAGAAATTCAAAAAAGAGGAGAGAGAGGTGGCCGGCCCTAGGTGAGGGAAAAGAAAAGAAAAAAGACCCCTTTTGTAGGGTGAACCGGCCTTGAACCAAACCGGCCTTGAACCGGACCGGACCGGTTTTGAACCGGAATCTAAATTGAAGCTGAACCGAGTGTCGAAACGACTTCAAATCGACCGACGATTAAGCCCATCAAAAAAAAGAGAGAACCCCTTTTATAGGGTGAACCGGTTCTGAACCGAACCGAACCGGACCGGACCGGGTTTGAACCGGAATCTAAATTGAAGCTGAACCGAGCGTCGAAACGACTTCAAATCGATCGACGGTTCAGTCCATCATTCATTCACTCCTCTCCCATACGTTCGGAAGAGTTGGAGGATTTTTTGAGCCTAATTACTGCCTTTTTTGGGTCATTGTCAGACCGGTTCAGTTCATTTGGGCACAGAAAATACTCCAATAAGGTATATGAGTATAAACTGTTCCCTAATTTTGGTTGAGAAGTTTCTGGAGAGTATTTTTCTAAAAATATTCTTAAGGATAACTCAACAACACTACGCCGGACAACGCGTTGCAGATAAAGACTCGACGCCGACAATCGATGGTCAGCTAAAAGATTAGAAAGTCAGGAATCGACTTCAAGTTTAAAATTCCGACAACGGTCAGACAATAAATGCAGCACCGGAACTCTTACAGACATTCGACAAAGCACCGAATAGCCTGGAAGATTGAAGGAATCAAGAACAGAAGCCATTCCAAGGTCCCGTTATACCGACTGAAGGTTGGGACAATCATATCCAAAGTATTCCAGACTCTTCTATAAAAAAACGAGGCTGAAATACTTTGGAGGGGGTATATGTAGGCATATAAAATTGCTTATAGGTCCCTCAGCATAGCTCAGCACAAACCGACGAACCAACGAGGCGACAAGGTTGACGAACCGCACGCAAGCAACGGGATACATCCATTCGAGCGAGGAATCAAGCCAACAGTTCGGGAAATCAACGAGTCATTCAAACAAGAGTGGACTCGGATTAATAACGACCAAATCAAGATCGGTTTCGGACTCGAACTCAGAAGTGGATTTACTGCCAAATCAGGATTCCGACTTACTGCCAAATCAGATCAACAAATCAGAATCTAAGTCAACCGAATCACGGACAGAACCGAGAGACGGATACAGCGCAAAACGACGGAAAACAGCAAACCCAGAGGGGCTCGGCCAAAACCGAGCCGCCTCAAGGTGGCTCGGCCAAAGCCGAGCCACCCTGAGGTGGCTCGGTGGCCGAGCCACCTTGAGGTGGCCGGCCCAGAGCCGAGCCACCTCAAGGTGGCCGGCTGCACTGTGCCCAAGGCACAGTGAGGGTAGCCTATAAATAGGCCCCCTTTTGTTCATTTTCAAAGGTTGGACTTTTGAGAGCCGAAACTCTGCCGGATTGAAGATCGAGCTTAGAGTTTTGAAGACTTGAAGACTTGGACATCCAGATCTGATCCTCGGCGAGCATCCACGTCACAAAAGGCAGGAGTTCGAGAGAGGGGAAGAACAGATCTGAGATCTACACGAGATCACACTCCGGATCTAAGCTTGGTCTTAGATCCCGAGATCCGAGCGATTATTTCCTTAGTGAACTAATCCCTCCCGGCTATTATTCCCTTCGTAGAATAATACCCATCAAATCGTGTAGATCCGACCGGATCTAGATCGCGCGGTGGTCCACGGATTAACCCCGGCGTTGGCAAAGAACCCACAAAAGGGAGCGACCGCAAAACAGGAGCTCGCGATTTGTTCACAAGGAGAAAGTTGTAATTTTTATTATTTTCTTTGATTTCGTTGTAACCGGATCTAAAAAAGACCGGATCTTTTGTAACCACAAAAAGTTGTTATTTTGGGATCACAATGAATTCAATGAAGAAATCGATTTTCCCCGCGAACAACCACATGGGCTTAGGGTTCTGAGTTGTCTAGGGGATAGAAAAATATTTTCTATCCCCTAATTGTCTCTCCAGCTTATATCTCAATGGCTGAGAACGCCTTGTACTTACTATGCAAACATTGTAATAGGATCTGAACTTGTTTTTGTGGGCATTTAAAAATCTCAAAAAGGAGCAAACAGGTATGTATAAATTTTATCTCATAATTTTCTCTCTCTAATTTTTGTCTCCCTTAATCTCTATCGTTGACAAGGATCATGTGTTAGATCTTATAAAAACTTAAGATCTAAACCATAAAGTCATGATTAATTCAAAGATATTTACAAGAATCAAAAGAAAAGAGTGGAAGCTTATACCTGAATCCATAGATTAAACTTGAGATGGGTTTTGAATCTTCTAACCTTAGGGTTTCTCTAGCCAAATTTCTCTCTAGATGGGGGGTGAAGAGAATTAGAGAATATAACCCTAGATTAGGGACCATAACCCCTTATTTATAGATGTTGTACATTTGTAATTTGGCCCCTCATCAAATCACAATTACAACCTGGTATCTGCACATATAACCCCATGACTTATTTAAATACTCATTAACCCAAATTAATTGATCACTTTAGTGGGTTATCCTGAAGGACAGCAATACACATTGATTAATCATATGTGCCTACAAATAGATTTATTAGATTAAATCCAGCAATCTCCCACTTGGGCACCATATGATTCCTTAAATTGTGTATAACCTTATGAGCTCAAAAATTACTATCACTGAAAAGGTATTTCTGAACAATCTCGTCCATTGACTATATCAATATAGGATCAAAGCGGCCTTCGTCACATTTATCGTGACTCGACCCATTAATGTGTTGGACCCTAGAGGGGGGGTGATTAGGGTCAAGAAGCTCTAATAAATTCAGCACAAGCAAAACACAAAATAAAAATGCGATAAAAGAAAGAGAGATAGGGTTAGGAGTTCGTTATCCTTGACGCGCGATGTGTTAACGAGGTTCGGCCCTCTGGCCTACGTCCCCGCTCCCCACTCTCGAGGAGAAATCCACTACACACCCGGTTTGGAAGCCGGAACTTCGTCTACACAGCGATCCCACACGATCTCTCTCACTACACAGTTTGATCTCAACAGATCACACCCTCACAGTAGATCTTACACAAGATCTCACCCTCACAGCAGAAGAAAAAGATGAAAGACTCTCTCTTTACACAGCCCCTATGACAAAGAGAAAGGTTACTGAAGCTGGGAAGTGAATCACACACAAAAACACAGAGAAAAACAGATTTGAAAATTTTTCTCAGGAAAACAGAGTTCTCTGGTTTTTGCAAACGTTAGGGCTTACTGAAGAAGAAGAAGACTGGGGGTTTTATAGAAAAGATAAAATCATTTTAAAACAAAACCCAATCTTCCCATTTAGGAAGATAATCTCCTTTTCAGGTTGTTAGCTCAGACTGTGCCAAACACTATTAAGTGAAAGCACAACAGTCGACGCAAACGACCGTTTTAAAAAAGTCACCGTTGACAGAAAGAAAATTTCGGTCGTCCGAAATAAACCTTCGGTTGACCGGAAAAACACGTCGGTCGACCGACCGAAAAATTCGGTCGACCGCGAGCTGCTTCGAAAACTTGGA